TTTTAGCTTTTGGGCTGTTATTGTAAATAAAACTGAATTCTTGATTTGATTCTCAATTGGGTCCCTATTGATGCATAGCAATGCTACTGATTTGTGTGTGATTTTGTATCCTGAAATTTTAATGAATTCATTTATCAAATACAGGAGACTTTGGAAGGAATCTTTAGGATTCTGTAGGTACAAGATCAGACTGTCAACATACAGAGATAGTTTGATTTCTTCTTTTCCAATTTGATACTTTTATTTCTTTCTCTTGCCTGACTGCTCTAGCTGGGACTTGCAGTACTATGTTGAATAGGAATGGTGAAACTGAGCATCCTTACCTTGCTCCAGTTCTGAAGGGGAATGCATTAAACTTTTCTCTGTTCAGGATGACACTAGCTGTGGGTATGTAATATATGGCTTTTATTATTTTGAAACATGCTCCCTTTATGCCTATTTTGCTGAAGGTTTTTATCATGAAAGAATGCTGGATTTTATAAAATACTTTTTCTGTATCTATTGAAATTATCATATGATTTTGTTTTTTATTCTGTTTTTATTTTTAATATGGTAGAGCTCAGATATTGAGTGCATATGTTGAACCATCTTTGCATCTCTAGGCTAAAACCCACCTGATCACGGTGGATTATTTTTTTGAATTTGCTGTTGAATTTGGTTTGCTAATATCTTATTGAAGATTTTTGCATCCATATTAATCAGAGAGATTGGCCTGTAGATTTCTTTTTTTGTTGTGTCTTTTCCTGGCTTTGGTATTAGAAAGATAGTGGCTTCGGAGAATAAGTTAGGGAGAATTCCCTCCTCTTCAATCTTATGTAATAGCTTCAGTAAAATTGGTACTAATTCTTCTTTGACAGAATGATGGAATTCAGCTGTAAGTCTGTCCTGCACTTTTTTTTTTTCATTAAGAAACTTTTAATTACTGTTTCAATTTTTATACTTGTTATTCATCTGTTGAGTGTTTCTATGAGGGGAAGACCCAAAAAACCCAGAATTCTCTTTTAGAGGGTGGGACCATTGTCATATACTCAGAATCTATGAATCTCTAGATAAAATGGTCAGTTCTGAGAAGGGTTGCATCATAATTAGCAGAAGAAATGTTCTGAGTTGTGGCAAACAGGTGACTTGTTTTTCCATCATGACAATAAACCTGGCCATACCGGGTTAAGTGTTCAGTAGTTTTTGACCAAAAAACAGCATGACCCCCGTACTGCATCCTCCCTATTCACCTGATCCTGCCCCAAGCGACTTTTTATTTCCTCGCATGAAAAAAAGTCCTCAAAGGGAAACGTTCTGCCAATGTGGAAGAGGTTAAACAAAAAATGACAAAAGCACTAAACGGCATCAAAATGAATGAGTTCAAAAACTGTTTTGAGCAGTGGAAAAAGCATCTCAACAGGTGCACTGCATCAAATGAAAAGTACTTTGAAGGTATAAACATGTAAAAATTAATACACACTTTTTAAAAATAAATAAAGGTATATGCTTTGGGGATAACCTTTTGGCAGTGAATCTTCTGGAGGTTCTTTGGGCTTGTTGTGTCTGGATGTTTAAGTCTCGGGCAAGGCCAGGGAAGTTTTCCTCCATTATTCCCTCAAATAGGTTTTCCAAGCCTGTTTTCTCTTTTTTCTCAGAAACACCTATGATTCTTAGGTTTAGCAGCTTTTTATAATCCCACATTTCTTGGAAACTTTGTTCTGTTTTCTTGATTTGTTTTCTTTATTGTTGTCTGATTGGGTTAATTTCAAAGCCTTGTCTCCAGGTTCTGAGATCCTTTTTTCTACTTGTTCTAGTCTACTGTTACAACTTTCCACTGCATTTTGTACTTCCCTAAATGATTCTTTCATTTCCAGAATTTCAGATTGGTTTTCTTTTATTAAATTTTTTTGAGTTGACGGTCACTGCAGCCTTGATCTGCTGGGTTCAGGTGATCCTTTTTTTTTTTTTTGAGTGGGAGACTTACTCTGTCACCCAGACTGCTGTAGGGCTGTGGCACACTCACAGTTATCACAGCCTTGACCTGCTGGACTCAGGCAATCCTCTTGCCTCAATCTTCCAAGCAGCTGGCTATAGGCACGTGCCACCTCGCTCGGGTAATTTTTTTATTTATTGAAGAGATGAGGTCTTGCCAAGTTGCCCAGGCTGGTCTCGAACCCATGGGCTCAGGCAATCCCCACACCTCAGCATCTCAAAGTGCTGGGATTATAGGCGTGAGCCACCACGCCTGGCCGCTTGTTTTTTAAAGCAGTCTATCTCACTGGATAATTTTTCATTCATGTCCTAAATAGTTTTTTAAACTCTTTTTTATGTTAGTTTTTAACTTTCTCCTGAATCTCATTGAGCTATTTTTTTTTATGGCAGTTTTATTGTTACTAGTATAGAGAAATTTTATAAACATTATGTCTCAAGAATTACTATAGTGAATAGTAAAATGTATCTCTCCTTAGAGACCCACATAAAGCACTGTATGGACATTTTTGTTTATAAAGTAGATTAATTAAGATATACTTCCACCTGGGGTAAATAGGGATTTTTTTGCTTTAGGTAGGTAGTTTTTTCTTTATTTTTATTTAATTTTACAGTTATGTACAATAGCTCTTGTTTCTCTGGAGTAAAACTGAAAACTTTCACTCCTTTTCTAATTCATATTTATTTGAAAACTATAAAATGGATATAGTCAGGATGATTCCTCCGGGGTTATCCATGCATCTTTGTGCTGTAATGGATGCATTTCTGATATGTTTGTGTATGGTATTTATCTTAACTCTAAGTGTTTTGTAAAGGTACTAGGGAAACTACATAGGTAAGAAATATCTTCTAGAGCAATTTTTTTTTTACCATTTATTTTTTATGAACAAGAAGCTGAGTAACTTATTACTCATTGAATTATTTTATAATCAACCTTTCTATTTCTGGAATTTCAAATATTTAATTTTGGTTAGGGTACATTGCTAAAGAGTTGGTGTGGTCTTTTGAGATTATTGAGGAACTCTGTTTTTTCATATTGCCAGAATTATTTTTCTGGTTCCTTCTGATTTAGGAAGACTTTTCTTTTTATATGAGGTTGGCAGAGGACTGACATAGGCACTGTATGATCCCTTGGTTATATATGGTTGTGGTATAGTGAGTTTCTCAATTGTCAGCTGTGGCAGTCCAGTGCTGGGTGCCTGCTAAGGTTCAAGGCATCCTGAGTTGCTGGGGTAGCCTGAATAGTAGTGTTACCTGGGGTCTAGGATCAGACTTTCCCAAAAGCTGAAGTATTATATCAGATATGATGGGCTGTGCTGCTGACCTCCAGCCAGGAGATGGTGCTTCTGGGAGCTAGCTGTGATGGTGGCTGGGGGCTTTCTGCTTGGCATGTGTTGTCCAAAAAAGCAGGCACCCAACCTAGGTGGTGGGCTGGGCTGTGGGGATTACTCAAGTTCTTTGTTTTGAGCCTTTGAGGAAGGTGTTGAGGCGGAAGAACTCAAGCTCTCTACCTGTATGCACTCTTGACTAACCCAATGGGGACAGGGAGGCTGTCCTAGGCCACTGGGGTAATGCTATTCTGCAGAGGCCATGCAAAAGTGTTTGCCTTGCAGTGAAAGGTTGCTAGGGTAGTAAGTCCCCTCCAGTTCCCCCATCTTAGCCTCAGGCAGTCTGCATTCAGAATGTCAAAGTGCAGCTGGTCTCAGGTATTCTCCAATGTCAAAGTAGAGCTGACCTCAGGTGCTCTTTGGGGCAACCTGCCCAAGTCAAAAACCAATCTGTCACCTTGGAGTTTGCCTTTGGGGGTCTGTCTCCTTCCAGGCTAGAGAGAAAGTAGCTCTCAGCAAGAGTTGAATTCCTGCAACATGTAGCTGCTCATGGTTTTTGTTGTTGTTGTTGTTGTTGTTGTTGTTTCTCTTGCATTACTCCACATGGGTTTCAGCAGAGCACAACTATGGGTAAGGCAGATTATCATGAGGGACTGGAGTCCTACAAGGCTCAGGATGCCTTCCAAATTCGTGACAGGAGCACAGAATTCCTGAATTCCCATCACTCATCTTCTTCACTGTGTCATGCCATGATCCAGGCAACAGTCTGGCTTATCCAACACAGGTCAATTGACTTTTTTTTGTACTATGTGATTATTATCCCTTCTTTAATAAATCGTGTGGTGTGCTGCAGTCCTGATTCTCTCTAGGTGCCAAGGACACTTTCTCTATCTTGGTTTGCTTCATAGGAGAAACACATCTAGGTGTCTCTAGTTAGCCATCTTGCTAACAGTTTTGTCAAAAGAATGTTCAAAGGCAGTTCTTTACTGGGTAGGTACTTACAGACTTCAGAGACAAAGCATCTATGGAAACAATCCAGTAAAGAGCTAATGCTGTCTAGGCCTTTTTGTTGCTATTAATTTTTTCCCTTTTATGCTCTGGAGTAGCAGTTCTATAGATAGGGGCAGTCGTAATCATAAATATGACTGCATTTGCACAATACCTGCCTTAAATCCTGGTGATCATTTCTCTTCCTTACTAATAAACGTTCTTCGTGGCTTTTTTTTTTTGGTACAGAATTGGGCACTTTTATCTGCATTAAAAACCTGTTCAGGCAGATCTGAATTGGTAAAACATTTAAAAATATAAATCAATTTATCCACTCTATTTTATTTGTCTCAGTATTATCTATGACTACATGAACCATCATACACATACTAGAAATTTTATCTGAACTTACCATAAAATACCTTTTATAGACCAAATATGTTAAAAGATGTATTGATTTTGAGTATTATCACTGAGTCAACCTGAAACAGTGTTCTGCATAAAAACACCTAAAGGACTGATTTGACAAGTGTTTCAAAAGCTGGACAGAGAAACATAAATACACATTAAATACCTAAGTGGTAAAACGAAATACTTAAGTAGTAAATGAAAGATAGCAAAATAACCAGAATTACAGTATAAAGAAGACATTTAAATAATAAAAGTTATACATTTCTCACTTTATAGCACAGTAAGAATAAAAAAGAGAAGCCTCACCTGTCATCTCTGATGTGGTAGAAAAATCCATATCCATTGTGTACCATGGGAACTACTACTCCCTGGACTCGTAAATAACCAATCAGACTTGTTGAGAGAACAAAATTCCCACCTCCTCCACTGTGAGGCACAATAAAAGGATATTTTACTTGACCTACAGATGCTTATATTGTTTCTAAAAAGCTTTCAACATTCAAGAAAAAGGAAACTGACTGATAAAGTTATAAAACTCTACACAATATTACCTTTTGGAGAAAAGTGGGTCCGTAAAGAGTTCTGGAACAGGAAGACCTTCTTCTTTTGCTATGAGTAACAGACCTAAGAGGTGACGGTCAAATCCTGCAATGAAATCCCAAACCTGAAGTTAGAAAAAAATTTTCATCCTGAGAGTTTTTTTAAATTAAAGTCAGAATAATTTTAACATAAGTACCTTTTCCAGCTGAACAATCTTTCATCATTTTGTTATGCTTTGCAAAAGCTTGTAACATCTTTTGCTGCCGCTCATGAAGCTGTATTAAAAATCAAGAGATACTTCAGTAACAAACTGTAGAAAACAACGAAGAAAACAAAAACTGAGCTCATCGTAATTAGGATTTGAGTAATTTTGGAGAGAAAAGAAAATTTCTAGGAAGACCTATGATACATGCTTATGTCTTTTTCTTAATTTTCTCACTGCCCTATGCTCTCTTATTGACTATTTCTTTTCTGGCATAGGAAAATAGGAATTTGTAGGCAGCACTGAAGTGATATTAACAAGTATAAAGACAGAAGCAAATGGATTTCAAAACTACCACATAACTATAAAATGACAATGAAGTAGTTCTGCAAAATTAAAATACATTAACCCACACATAACCGTGTCTATCAAAACTAAATAAACAAATGTAATATTAAAATAGTAGTAGGAAGAAAGTATGCTGCTGTCTATAATACTTCAAAAAAAGAATATACAATAAAACATATAACTGTTCTATTTCTAGTATATGAAATAAGAATCTGTGATTTCTCTTACTTTTTCTCTTTTTTTTTTTTTTTGAGTTGGAGTCTCACTCTGTTGCCCAGGATGGAGTACAGTGGCACACTCACAGCCACCGCAGCCTCGACCTGCTAGGCTCAGGCGACCGTTCCACCTCAGCATTCCAAGTGGCTGAAACTACAGGCAAGAGCCACCATGCCCAGCTAATTTTTGATTTATTGTAGAGACGAGGTCTCGCCAAGTTGCCCAGGCTGGTCTCAAACCCCTGGGCTCAGGTAATCCTCTTGCCTCCACCTCCTAAAGTGCTGGGATTACAGGCTTGAGTCACTGCACCTAGCCAAATCTGTGATTTCAAAAACATCCAGCCACAACAAGAAAAGTTTCCTTTTAAAGGCATTTTGGGATAGTCCTGCACTTTACTGGTGTCCTAAAGGTAGATCAGAAGTGTTGAAATACCCAATACTGAAAATATGTTGCCTAGAAAATGATACAAATGGCCTTCATTTTTTTAGGTCTTCCTTGTTTCTTAGTCTTTCCAAGCACACACATCACTGGCAAATAAACAAATGCTTTGAAAACTTCAGAGAAGACACCTTAAAGTATGTTAATGATCCAGGGGAATCAAAGCAAAAAATTAGTTATTCAAGGGCCAAGTTTCCTTTAGAACAATTAAACAAATCCTGTGAATTATTTTTTCCAATACTCACACTGGTAGAAGGATCCTGCATGGAATGACACCACCTGACTGCTTCTCCTGTGCATGATCGCATGGTCTCTGTACGGCCATGATAAAAATATCTTGTCATAGCTGTTTCATAGCAACAACCAGGGCTATGAGAAAAAATTAAAAGAGTGCCTCATAAAAAAGAAAATGTTCTAATGCCATTACAAATATAATTACCTAATAAGGTTGGCTTTGTTCAGCGACTCAGCCCTGTACTGCAGACTAAAGTTGAGACTTTCAATAAAAAAGCGGCAATTTCCAATACCAAAAATCAAAAAGTACTCTGATAATATTTGCTATTTTAAAGGCTTGGGTGTTGTCAGGTTACACACATCACAGTATATAGCAGGCAGCCTCTAAGGTAGCCCCCAGTGATCCCTGCCTCCTGTTGTATATGTTCTGATGTAACCTTCATTTTGAGTGCAGTCTGGACTTAGTGACTTGCTTGTAATGGAGAGAACATAGCAAAAGTAATGGGATATCACAACTGAAATTAGGTCACAAAGAGAGCTCTGTCTTGCTCTCTTCCTCACTTTGAGGAAAGTCAGCTGCCACACAGGGAGTGGTCCTATGGAAAGACCTAAATAGGAAAAAAACAGAGGGATGCCCTCTGGATAACAGCTATGGAGGTACTGAATCCCACTAATGACCATGTGGGTGAGTTGACAAGTAGATCTACTCTCAACAGAGCCTTTAGATGAAAACACAGCCCTGGCTAACACTGTTTACAACCTCATGAAAAACCTTAACTCAGAGGTATCTAAGTCAGCTAAGCTTGAATTACTGACCCACAAAAAGTATGAAATAATAACTGGATGTGTTTTCAGTCACCATGCTATGGAGGAATTTGTCACACAGAAATAGATAATACTGAGTCCCTGGCCTTTCGTTTCTTCACATAGAACATGAATGACTAAAATTAAGTTGAAGCATCATTTAAGAAGTTCCCCAAAGTGATATCTGTTTTCCTGGGTTGGAGAATGATATAACAATTTTAGATCTAAATTTCTTACTTTCTTGAAGGTTAGAATTTAGAATCAAAGAGATCAAATGGAGAGTGAAAGGTCTGAATGTGGACACTCGGAGCACTCAGTTGTTGAGCCCCTTTCTTTTGGTGTTTCTGTCTTTCTGGGGTGAAAAGGTATCCTTTCAAAGTGTGAAGGAGAAAGAGTAAGTAACATTTTTAAATAGCACTAGAATATTATTCTTTTAAAAATAAAAGCACTAAAAATGAGTAATAAAATATCATCACTCTGCAACCCCTAATGAAATAATGGATCTTGGCAATAATCATCAATGACTACTAAAATATTAGGTAAAAAAAAATTCAGGGAATGAACTTTATAATGGATGTTGACTGACAAGTGAACACACTCTCAATCTTAACAGGATAAAGTAGAAAGCAAACAGTATTAATTATTTGGTTTATTTTTGCAAAAATAACAAAAATAAGAACTGATTCTTAAGTCTCTAGTTCTACCAGTTTGCAAGAATACAGAAGACTGAGCAACACGTTAAAAACACCACAGAAATGCAATCAGGAAAATTCAGAAAACTGAGGATCCAGTTTCTTCATCAAATCAAAAACAGTAATAAAAAGGTAGGGGAAGATTCTTATAGTTAAAAAAAGACTTAAGAGACATATCAATCAAATGCAATGTGTGAAACTTATTTAGAATCTGATTTGAATATATCTCCTATCTAAAAAAAAATTACATGAAATTTCTAATGCCAGCTATGATAAATTAGCTTGTAGCAAGTCCGTTCCAATAATAGGGACAGGAAAAACTAGATTAAAAAAAAAAATCTATTTGAACGCTTTGCAGAATTGTTAAAGCAGCTAGGATGTGAGGATCTGGAAAAAAGGGCATCTTTGAAGTGAGGTACCTTATTTAATGCTGCCTCCCCCTCCTCATGAATTTGATGTTTCATAAGACACATAAGCAAAAAAGATGAGAAACTGAACAAAAAATTACGCTAAGAGACAAATAAATTGAACAGGGCTTTCAATAATTTCATGAAGCTGATGAAACAAAATTAGAGTTTAGAGCTAACGAGGTAGCCAGGATGTGAGAGGCCAGATCTCAGATAAAGAGGGAAGTCCAGAGATGTGAGCCTACAGCCCAAGCCTCTCTCCCCTCAAGGCATTCACTGACTAGGTAAGTGAAGCAGGCTGAAAGGTGAGGAGGCTGAGGAGAAAGTGGTTGCTCAGACTTCCAGAGGATAACTGAACAATTAGTAGTCTCACAGTTCTAAGGAGGTAAAAATTACGAGTTTAAAATAAACACTCTAGGACTTTATGACAAAAAGGGAGCAAATAGAAGCAGATCGTGCTAAAAGACTCTACACAAACCAACCTAGAACCAGTGTAATCTCTGGCTGGATTAAAGTGAAATACTCAGGCTGGGGACAGTGGCTCATACCTGTGATCTCAGCACTTTGGGAGGTCAAGGCAGGAGAACTGCTTGAGCCCTGGTGTTGAAGACCAGCCTGGGCAACATGGAATGACCTTGTCTCTACAGAAATATAAAAACATTATCCTGGTATGGTGGTATACACCTGTAGTCCCAGCTACTCAGAAGGTTGAGGCGGAAGGACCATCTGAGCCCAGAACGTCAAGGTCAAGTGAGCCATTATCATGCCACTGCACTACAACCTAGGTAGAGTGAGACTACGACTCAAAAAAACCAAAACCTAAACCAAAACCATATTCTTCTTGAACTGCCCAACAGAAGATAAAGAAAATCTTCTTTGAAGGAAAATAACATTCTGTAGAGCAAGGTTTCTCAACTACAGCACTAGTGACAATTTTGGACTAAATAATGTTTTGTTGGAAAACTGTCCTGTACATTATAAGATGGTTATTTGAATCCCTAGCCTCTACCCACCAGATGACAATAGCATATTCGCCCCATGTAGTGACAACCAAAAATGTCTCCAGACATTGCTAAATTTTAACTGGGGACAATTTCCTCCCTTAACGACTATTTTTGATGTATGGCCTCTGAATGCACTGTCTAATATTGTAGTTATTAACACATGTGAAAGCACATGAAATGTAGCTAGTCCAATCTGAAGTGCACTAAAATAGATAAATTAGATTTTAAACATTTCATGCAAAAAGAAGAAATTATCTCATTAACAATTTTTATATTGCTTATATGTTGAAATAATATTTTGATATGCTGGTGCTATGGCTTAAATGTGTCCCTCAAATTTCATGTGTTGGAAATTTAATCCTTAAATTCATATGTTGATGGCATTTAGAGATGGAGCCTTTGGGAGGTAACTAGGATTAGATAGGATCATCAGGGTGAGGTCACGTAATGGGACTGGTGAATTTATAGGAAGAGGAAGTTCTAGAGACCTGAGATGGCATGCTCTTGCCCACTCATCATGTGATACCTTCTGCCGTGTTATGAAGCAGTAAGAAGGCTCTTACCAGAAGCCAAGTAGATGCTAGCGCCACACTTTCTGGATTTCCTAGTTCTCAGAAATGTAAGAAATAAGTTTCTTTTCTCTATAAATTACCCAGTCTCAGGTACTCAGAGCAAGTGAAAATGGACAGTTGGGCTGAGTATATTATTAAAATAAATCTCACCTCTTTAAAAAATATGGCTGACATGAGTTTAAAATTATATATAAATTGTGACTTGCATTATCTCTCAATAATTGGGCAGTGCTATCCTATAATCTTTCTAAAATAATGTTCAGCAGTCAATAAAAAATGAACAGGCATACTGAGGACAGGAGCAAGAGAAAAAAAAAAAAACTACAGAAATTGACCCACAGGGTAACATCAGTAAGATGATGGAACAGGACATCTCCAGCCCTTGTCTTTCCTCCCCTCCCCCCACATTCCCAACAGAAACACTGATTTTGCAATCACCCATCAACAATAGTGCTTTTGTGGGAGCTTTGGGATTCAGGTAAGAGGTTGTAACACCCTGGAGAAGCCCAAGACTGAGGATGTCTCCTTGAGAAGGCAGGCCTGCACAATATCCTTTGTAAGTACAACAAAAATCCTCAACAAAATAGTAGCAAACTGAATTCAGTGACATATTGAAAGTATTATATGCCATGATCAAGTGGGATTTACATCAGGAGTGCAAGAGTAGTTCAATATATGAAAATCAAAGTAACATATCACTTGAATAGAATGAAAAAAAAGATCTACACGATCACCTATCTCTGTTGATACAGAAAAAGCATTTGACAAAAGGCTACACCCTTTCATAATAAAAACACTCAATAAACTAGGAGTAGAAGGAAAGTTCCTTAACATTGAGGACCGAACATGAACTTTTTCTCTTATCCACGTTCCTAACTAAGAGGCTTAGGAATCACTGCCTGATAAAGACTCACCAAACAGGGTTTTATTACTCTATAGTTTTCCAATCTAACTTTGGCATAACATTACATAACAAACGAATAGAAAAGCAAAATATCTTATGGCACAGCAAAGCGACCAACAGAAGGATTACCAGACTCCCAGGGAGACTTGTAAGACATTTGTCTACCCTCCCTGAAGTCTGTCACATATAGGACTTCATCTACATATCAACAAACCTAAAGTCTTTCCATTCTTTGTTATAGCAAAATATCTTAACTTCATCTACATATCAAGAGACCTGGAGTTTTCTATTCCCTTATTCTAACAAAAGCATCTCCTCTACCGATTTCTCAAATCCTTAGATAAGAATAACAAAATTACCAGTCAAGAAATCTTTAAATCTGCCTTTTACCTGCAAGCCCCCACTTGGAAATGTCCCTCCTTCCTAGACCAAACCAATGAAAATATCACACATATTGATTTATGGTTTCTTGTAACTTCCACCTTCCTAAAGTGTATATAATCAAACCACCTTTGGTCACAGTGGGCACACATTCTTAGGCCCTCCTGAGTGTATACAGGTTTATGTACTCAGTTTTGGCTCAAGAATAAACCATCTTACAATATTTTACAGAGTTTGGGATCTTTCATCAACAACATGATAAAGGGCACCTGTGAAAAACTGATAGCTAAAATCATACTCAATGGTGATAGACTAAAAACTTCCCATCCGAGGAAAAAAAAGTCTCGCCACTTCTATTCAGCATCATACTG